GTAAGTGTAACCCAGAACTCATGTCCTATAAGACCTACTGTCTGTCACCCAGTGGCCACAGGTGATGGGCAGGGACTCACCTACTGCAGCCCAGACAGGAAGTGAGGAAGAGTGCTCATCTCTCCAGTGTCTCCTCTTGCCTGTCTTCTTCACAGTGCCCCACCAGGGCCCCCTGCTGGACACAGAGCACACTGCAGGTGAGCAGCTCTTCCCCTGGCAGGAATCTGGGGTTCTCCTCAACACACACCACACATCCTGTTCGCCTGGCAAGTCATTTCATCATCATCATCATCATAATAATAATAATACAGTGCTGGTCAGGTCACCTCAATGTGCTTTACAATAAAACAAAGCAAAGGCAGCAAACTTAAAAGCAACATTTATAAGAACGAAGAACTTGAGTGTAAAGGTTTCTTTACTTTAAGGGGGGTGGGGGTGTGGAACAAGCTGCCCAGCCATGCTGTTGAAGCCGATACCCTGGCTCCTCTCAAGAAGCAACGCATTGAGATTCTGGGATTAATTAACTACTAATGATCAAACAATGATCACCCAATGGTTATAATTCTTACGTTGTAAAAGCGGTGGTATGATCTAATAAAAGCCATTCAAGTGACTTTATGAAACCAGATCAATCGGTGGATTTGTAATCATTAGTCAGAGCGCTGACCGCAGTGTCTGAACCGCAGGAGGCTTCTCAGTCTGAAGACGTTAAGTTCCAGTTGTAGCCAAGGAACGACAAAACGATAAAAGACCAGTCATTTTCGTTTTTTACTTGAAGGGAGCTGCCGAGGATGTTGACGGGACGGTAACAGCGAAACTCAGCGTCCAAACAAGCGTACAAAATAAATAAAAACACTCAAGGAAAAAAACTGTGTACGAAAAACAAATGAATGGGATTCTGCTAACTTTTCCATCACAGTTTGTTAATACTGAAGTCACATTTGTCAATATTAAAAAAAAAACAATCGCCACAAAGGCAACAGCGCGTATTTGTGAAAACATTTCAGACTCTCTTACACAGAATTGCTGAAATAGAAGTTCCAATAAAAGTTACAAATCCTGGAAACATCGGGAGTTAAGTGTTGTTGGCTAAAGTTCAGTGAAGAACACCAAATATTGGTCAAATACGGCGAAACTGTGGTAAAACACAGTGGAAATAAGGTCAAGGCACAGTCCAGCGCAGTAGAGCCCAGAGAGACCATGATAAAGCACATGAGAGCTGCGTGTGAAGTAAATTATGTTGCTAACGTGAGGCTAAACATACCGAAGTGCCCCGCAATTTTCCCACGGTACACCTTGATGAGACAGCCGTCTGCGCTGCGAGACGCTGCCCCTCCTTTAACTTAAAGAAGACAAATTCTCGGAGGTATTTTCGTGCTCGAAAAAGACCCCCACGTTGCCTGTGTCGCAAACTGACGTAATGCAAGCTGATGCCCTGAGTTAGCCAGAGAGATGGTAATGCGTCTCGCATTTCAGCGCCAAAAGGCTGCCTCTGAGAAAGCCAACTGAAGTAGGTGCACGCTGATATATTCATATCTAAAAAATAAAAGTGAGTAAATAAACGACCTTGTTGTTCTTTTACCAACTCAAGCCAGGCAGCCTTTATTGCGTGCAGTCTCTCCGCGTCTCTTCCTGTTCCCTCACCATCTTCCTGTCAAGAGGGGAGGTGGGGTGTGGAGGGCGGTGTTTAAACCACGACTACATCTCCCAGCAACCCTTGCGGGAGCCGTTACTTCCGGTGCGACAAAACTGTGGGACTACAGCTCCCAGACGTCTCCAAACACTGAAAGGGAGCTCGATTCTTGTTTTTACCAACAAAGATTGATATTTATGCCAGTAAAGGTCTGTTATTAAACAATTTCTTAATTTTGTGAAATCGAGGCTTCTTTGAAGTATGTATTTATATCATTAAGCCACTTCAAATATGTACAAGATGTCTGCTGTGACCCAAAATTTCTTCCGCCATTTTACCAAAGCAGTAGTAAGATTCTGGGCTCCAGGTGGTGACCAGATTTTGAAGTCATTTCTAAAATGCTGAAGTCATCCAGCACAGACTTTAGAACCTGTGGCCAAAGTTAGCTCCACAACGCCCCCTACAGGACCACCGATGAATGTAATTTCTGATACATGTCGCTGGCTCCCAGCTTCGCTCCAGATCTCGTGCTGAACTGGCTCCTCCTCCTTCCCGCCCCTTGTTGCTTGGATTCGCTGTTTATTTTCCGAGCTTCTCCCACGGGTCAGCGGGAAGCAGAACAGGGATGGGTGGGGCGGGTCCCTGACCCTCCAGAGAGGAGCGTTCGTGCCGACAGGAGGGGCAGTCCGGCTCTCGCAGGTAACAGGCGGAACACCCTGGCCTGCTCATCCCAGCTCCCTCCACTAAGGGGCAGCTCTGAGCCACCTTCCCCCACCATTGGTCCCATCCAGAGAGTCACATGATTCTGGCTCAAACTGGAAACCGAGCTGTAGGGGCTCCACCTCTACTAGATGAGGAACTAGAGAGCCTCAATAGTAGGCCAATCATGGCTTGAGAGAGATCAAAATGAGCCAATCAATGCTTGAGAAATATCAAGGTCAACCAATCATGACTTGAGACAGACATCATGGTCAACCAATCATGGTTTGAGTGACTTCAATTTCAGCCAATCACGGTTTGAGAGACTTCAAGGTCAGCCAATCATGGTTTGAGAGACTTCAAGGTCAGCCAATCACGGTTTGAGAGACTTCAAGGTCAGCCAATCATGGTTTGAGAGACTTCAAGGTTGGCCAATCATGGCTTCAGAGATACAAAGCTAAGTTCCTTACTTGTATTTTTCAAATTTCTACCCACCCAGTTTCCTGCAGACTGGGAGCACTGGAGCGCTGGACTCGGAGACGGCATCCAGCCCCCAGCTCCTGCCACAAGACCGTGCTGCTGAGGGAGGTTCCTACCGGAATGAGGATCTGAATCCTCCCAAAAAAAACAACCAAGAATGCAGGACAGTATTCTTAGCAACAGTATTTCGAGTCATCTCTAGGTCCAGCCCTCCAGGACCAGGACTGGACAGCCCTGCAGACACACTGACCAGTCTCTCCAGGACCAGGACTGGACAGCCCTGCAGACACACTGACCGGCCCTCCAGGACCAGGACTGGACAGCCCTGCAGACACACTGACCAGTCTCTCCAGGACCAGGACTGGACAGCCCTGCAGACACACTGACTAACCCTCCAGGACCAGGACTGGACAAATTAAAAGGTTTTTGAGGGAAGTTTTACTTCAGTGAACAAAATAATACATATAACTTATATCTAAATGTACAGCAGATATGTGTAGAGATACTACCCATACAGACATAGTGCCGTTTCTTCAGTAATCTTTTTTTTTGTCTCTGTGTAACAGAGTGAATTAATGATCATATATCCCAATATCCAGTGCGAGTTCTGCTTGGTCTTAAAAACAAGAGGTTTCAACGGTGCTTTTATCCAAGACAGAAACAAATATAGAACACAAATTATCCTTAGAGTCAGCAAGAACAGAAGGAATACCTGTTGACTGGCCTGAACCCTTTATTTTAATCAACAATAAAACCTTGTTCAACACAAGAAGTCCCACTCTTCATCATAAATCCAATCTTTCACAGAACATCCCGCTGGCAGTGATGAGTGTCCAAGGAAGGGGAGGAGAGTGACACACTGGGACATATTAACCATCAATATGCGATTAGTAATAACTCACACTTTATAAATTAGTGAATAATACTCTTGGTTACACTGTGTTTGTTTTTGTCTATGTATTTATGCTTATCATCGCTGGTAAGAAGAGTTGTTTAAAGTGACCTAGAGACAAATGCATTGACAAACAGAGGAATTAAGGAATTAAATAAATAAAGGAATCAATCTGTCTGAACCCCCATCCATTTTCCTGGATCCGCTTATCCAGTACAGGGGCGCAGGTAAGCTGTGAAGCAAAAGGCGCAAGTTGGGGTACACCCTGGATGGGGACGCCAGTCCATCACTGGGCACACACAGACACCCAGGCCAATTAAAACCAGCAGCATGTCTCTGGACTGTGGGAGGAAACTGGAGCACCCGGAGGAGACCCACGAGAACGTGGGGAGAACATGCAGACTCCACACAGACAGGGATTGAACCCAGGGCCCCAGCGCTGCAAGACAGCAATGCTGACCCCTGCACCCCTCTGTAGACATTTGTCTCAATTAAAAAAAAAAAAACATTTCTGCAATATGTACAAAAAAAATCTATTTTCTATTTCCTATATTTTCTATTTCCTATTTTTAAGATTCAGATGTTCCACTTTAATTCTGCCCCAACATGACCACATCCTCCTGCTCTCCTCCGCGGATCCATTTCCGGCGCAGCGCCGTCGGGAGCGCAGCTCTTTCTGAGCTACTGCCTCCGTTAGAGAACCTGACCGCGGCGTCCTGCGCAGCATCCCAGTGATTCTACAAATCAAGTTTCCCAGTCCTGCTCCTGAAGTCCCCCTGTGTCTTCAGTTCAACACTTCATCGATTAGAACCCTTAACCACACCAACTGTTTTTAGCTGGTTCCTGCACTCAGGACTCTTTTCTGTGTGTCATTTCCAAGAAATAGAATGAGCAGAACTTAGTTCTGTCTTGGTTTAAAATCGTTGCTCCCCTATAGTTTCCTAAACAGCTTTTATTTTCATCAGTGAGACCCACCCTGTTCAACACGCAGGTCTTTTCTGTGCTGGAATGTGACATTCAGCCAAGTCCCTGAAGCATATGGAGAAGACAGCTGGTATTCAGCCCCTGGCACAGGGTTCAAGCCAATTCCTAACCTCACTCTGCTGCTGAAGATCTGAACCGACTTTAAAACTACAAACACATGGTTCAGTTAAAGAGCTTAATGAACCAAACAAACATGGTTTAGTTGGCACAGAGTTTCCATGGAGCAGAACTGGGAAAATCCAAGCTATCAGGACATGGCTGAGATGCAATGCATGTCCCTTCTACTGCATGGGCTTGAGCTCAACTGAATTGCGAACCCGTGTTATTTTGCCATCTTCGCCCCTGTTTCCAGAATAGCCTGCTCAGCTCCAGACCTGACCCCGAGAGCCCACAGGGGGTCCCCAACTCACCCCACCCTTCACTCGGCTGGAGGGGTGTTGCCGCTTGGGGACACCGGGTCACAGACGGACAGCGAGGTGACCCAGGCCTCAAACCTGGAACCTCAGAGCTCAACCTGCGACTACACCAGGCCAGTCGTGAGACCTTCACAAGAGTCGGACAACACAGGGCTGCAACATGAAGAGTCACTGCCTGTGCTCTGTGTTAAAGCCAGCACTCCTGTATCCATCTGCTCAGTAACAGATCACAATACAGACACTGTATAGCCAATACAGTCATATAGTATAGCAGGTCGAATATACATCATATACAATAAGTATCTAAAACATGTATACTTATTAGTGCAGAAATAACCATGTGAAAAGTAATCATGGTAATTCTGCAATTTACAACACAGTTTCACCATGAAAGCATAACGCATTTACATGGTCATAAATTCCCCACATTTATATCATGCTTTAATTAACCAAATTTCTCTGTGCCTTTACCCTGGTCTCATTGGACTTTACTGCAGCATACCTTGCTTCTACCCTGATCTCACTGGATTTCACTGCACTGTACCGTGCTTCTACCCTGATCTCACTGGGCTATACTGCCTCTGTACTGTGCTTTTACCCCGATCTCACTGGGCTTTACGGCACCATACTGTGCTTTTACCCTGATCTCACTATGATTTACTGCACCGTACTGTGTTTTCACCCTGATCTCACTGGGCTTTACTGCACTGTACTGTGCTTTTACCCCGATCTCACTGGGCTTTATTGCTCTGTACTGTACTTTATTGCTTTTACCATGGTATATCGCAGGAAAACATTTGCAAAATGCGATACGCAAAGGTCATTAAAGTGTGTCTGAATTCAATCCGTTTTCTAGCTGGGGTGTCTCTAGCGGTCAGCGCTGGTTGGCTAGAAAAGGGGTGCCCTGACCGGGGCCGCCGGGGGACCCTCCCGCGTTTCTCAGCAGGTGCCACACGAAGCTGGAGATCCTCTTGAAGGCGACCCCGCACACGCAGGTCAGGGGCGCCCCCGGGGGGCCGTGCCTGCGCCAGTGCCTGACCAGCCGGGCGCCGCCCCGCACCGCC